TGTGAGCTTTTCTATGGACTGGTGTCAATCGGCCGACGCCGAAAGATGCCCCCATTCGCGTCTATAGCAGTGTAGCGCGATTGCAACGTAACTGGTGAACGGTCTAGCGTAAAAGCAGTCTTTCATCCTTAATCCTTTCATTTCAGCTATAAGACAAAAGGTGCTGCGGAAAGGTCAAGATAGTCTGAAAGTCGCATGCGGGCTAAAAATTCAACGGTTGCTTCCCTCGTCTTTAGGGATGGTACTTGAACCCTTAGACGAAAATGGGAAAGGAACACGCACAGATGGATCTACAGGAACCCGAATGGTCAGGCAATGAGTCTACTATGAGAAATGAATCCAGGTGGTTGGTGTGAACGATCTTTGGTTTCACTTCGCTTGTGTGAAAGCGAGCCACCCGCTACAAGTAGGCACATGTTAGTGGTATCAGGCACAGATTCGCAGGACGGCTGCTCGTACCTCAGGGTGCTTCAGGGCAGGGCTCAACCAGCCCTATGGTTTGGAAAGAGTAGCCTTGAGGCGCGATCGCAGTTTCAGTCCGTATAACGTGCGGCATGTACGTTGATGAACAGATCCCGCAGAGAATAACATGAACGGCAAAATGCCAGCTGACGACCAAGCGTAGAAAACGGCCAAACGTGAGGGCACGCTACGTTAGCTATGAGCAGAAATGACTCTTGGCTATTACTATTGTGGATCCGCCTAATTTCCGTGGACTTTCAAGTGTCAAAAGTGGCTCAATTCTGCAACTGCTGACCGCCTTACCTCACGAAGTCAGAAAACTTGATTACAGAGTATACCTCGAGGGTAATGGTAAGCATTCACTCGAATATGAATTAATAGGAAGCTTACCTGCTCTATTTGTTGCTCGGATCGAATCCCTTTGACACAATCTTGGATCACTTTTTCCACTGCTCTGTGCTCCGTTGGCAAGCTGAAACTCCAACTTTTCCAACAGCTCTCATAGGAGCAAAGATCAGGAGAGGGTCATGTCAAGCATAGATTTAGCATGAAAATAGTCTTCATGGAATAGATCCCAGCAAAGCAATATCGCATTTCAGTTTAAGGAAACTCGCATTTTTGTTTTGAATCGACTTCATTTTCAGCAACAACTCCTATATTGTTTTTCAAATGAACAGCTGTCGAAAGAAAAAATGTTCCCACTACAGTATTCCCCAACTTTTGGTAGTCTTATATAGATAGGATCAAACGACACCATGTGTGGCAAGGGCGAGGTTTGCGGGGCAGCCAGAGCTGCCTTTCAGCCACTCGTTGCGGTCTTGGTGACATTTACTGGAGGAGGCTGTCCTGGCGCCCCATTTTCTCAGGCTGTTCTTTGAAGGTATCATGACCGTGAGTTCTAGAACAATCTAGCCTAATAAAGCGAATGAAGGATGGTTGGTGCAATACCAAGCTCGCACACTATGTCCTAAGTTCCTTGCAAGCTAATCTGGAGGACTCAGACTGAGCTCAGTCCCTTGCCGAAGATAAAAGGTTTCTTTGCAGTGGATTTGAAGGGCAATGGACGACATAAATCAAATTTTGGAAGGCGGGGTGCTTGATCTGTCATCCAGTCCGTTTGTATGTTTGAAATAATTAGATTCTCGCAGTTAAAATGCCACAGGTATCACAAGGCAGATAATTTCTACACGTAATTTGCCATCGTGACCTCTTACTGTCCGTAGCATCAAACTTCAAAGTACACTCACTCATGAAAATGACATAACATAATTTTGCGTTGTTATTCTTTTGTAAGAGAATGACAAGAACATATCCGGAGCGCTTATATGATGGCTTCTTCCACTTAACAAAACGTGAGCCTTAAGATCAGAGAGCAATTACCTCTCGAGGATTTCATCCCATCTTTCTAGAAGGAAATTGAACATGAATTCTTCGCCCACAGGATTACTGGAAACTGCAGAGAAAACATCAGTCAAATCTTGAAGGCGAACAAACGAGGAGTTTCGATCCAGTGCGAGTAGGAGAAGCCTGAAATTCCACACATGAAAAAGGAGTGCCCCTAAAATCTTGGACGGATATTCATATACTCTTTCTTTCCGAGAGAAGGAAAAACAAAAGACACTCAGATTGGCGTAATAGTAGTGCGTAATAGTAGCCAGAATTTGTTTTTTCTTGGATAGAGAAATGGATCCCGTGGTCAATATTGCAAGTGAGCAACGAAGAACACCTGCGGAAAGATGAAAAAAGCGCTGCAAGAGTTCATGTGGATGATCATGAGCAGATCACTTCGTTTCGCAGGTTTTCCAAACTTTTCCAGTAAACCATACGTACTCATTACTCTAACAAACTCATCGCGCCTTCCGCTCCATCTCTGGCCATTCCAGATTGCACGAGCGTTATAGGTTATTAACAATTGAAGACAAACCCACAATTGTATATTGTGGATAGAGGCGCTCAACAACAAACCTACAGTCGCTAAATAAAACCCACAGAAGAAAAAAAAAGCAGAAAACCATTACGAACACCTAAAATAGAAACCTGATAGCAACCCTGGAGGAGTTCCCCGGACCTGCTCGTTTTGTGCCAGCGAAGCAATATTCTGCCACCTCTGGCTCAAGATCGTTTATCCACGTTAGTCAATAGTAATACCACCTAACAACGAAAAAAAAACGCAAAACGTGGTGTAGATTGAATACATGACAGAAAATAACCTCTGAGTTCCGTTGGGTGGGACCTTGGGGAGGCGTCAGAAATGCCACTCATAAGAGCCACAGCGCCTTCCTCACTAACTATGGAGCTTCGGAAGTCGGATAATCCAAGGGGCCTGACAACTTCTCAAGGGGACGCCCACGAGTTGCTCAAGCGTGGGGGCTGTCTTCAGACGCGTAATGCTACGAGCTGGTTGTTGGATATCGCCAATAAATTTGAAAGCTACAGTTAGTTTGTGGAGCGTTTTTACGGAAGGAAAACTCATTATTAACAATTACTCATTGATAAAAAGAAGCACGAGGTGAAGACGCAAAACTCCTTGTTGTGTAGTGTGTTTGGAGAGAAAGATTATTTCATTATCACCTCTCAGAGAAGTGATATCCTTTATGCATCCTATGCTTCGTAGTAGGTGTCCTTTTCAACTGAACGTTTTCTTGCCATAGTCAACAAGCTCATACCCCGAAGGGGAGCAGTTTTTCGGCATTATCTTTTTTCTAACTATGTCACTGAAGTTACCTTGTCAATGCGTCTCTCCCCTCCTGCACGCCATAGCAAAAACGCTCGGTCGAAGAGGAGCGGCAACACTGAACGAAACAACATGAATTCCCGCTGTAAAAAATTCTCTACCCGCTTGAATCGAGATAAATGATTTCTGAAAACTCTCTCGCGTCGGTAAGGCAAAAACGAAAACCACATGATTAGAGAACATTAAAAAACAAACCGAAAGTCTTCAATGCTAAGCGGGTTTCGCTCAATATTCCGCAAGCCACATGCTTCTTTGCAGAGGATACCAGTTCACAAACCAAAGGTTCATTTAGAAGTCTTTCAGGCCTTTTTTTTCCTCTCTCTTTCTCCTTTCTTTTTTTCATCTTCTTGATTTTCCGGTGCAGGACGAGCACTCCACTTTCATTTAGAGTGTCGGCATTATTTCAGTGTGTGCTTCACCCATACAACAACGATTAATACATGCAAATCTCTTTCCTGTGCAGCTTCAGACTCTTAGGGTCTATTTCTGCTCCAGATCTTCGAAGTTGTCTTCATGTCAAGCGAGCAAGGTTACGTGCTTATCCACATCGTAGCAATATGGTAGAAAGCTGCGTCGGTAAGCTCGTGAGTTTCGGCAGAACCTCAGTAAGGTTGCTGCACTATCGGAGGCTGAGAGGAATCTGCGTCACAGCACATCGTTCAAAATTTGCGCTCCGACTGAACATTCCAGCATACTCTGTCAGTCTGCGCTCGAGTCGCGCGCCTACCTTGCTTCGTCAGTGTCATCGCTGCGGTCGCCGCGGCCGGTCGGGCCACAACGCTCGGGTGTTCCATCACGCATGTCACTCAGAGCTCCGTTACTGCCGTCGTCACCCGCCACCATGTCCAGGCAGAAAAGCCTCCTCAAGCAATCTGGATATTGGATATCCTCTAGTGCTATACCCATGTGTTCGCTACTATATTTATAATCCACTTCGCAGGTTAGCCTCTCCATCCTTCACGGTAAGTTCCTATCCCATTTCCATATAATAGTAGAAGTTTGGAGTTCCTCTCATTGTAATGCCTTCTATGTTGATTAGTAATACGCATTAATACAAGAGATATTCCAGGAGCTGTGAATTCGTTTTACAGAAAGATCGTCATTGGGGCGCGCAAATGCACGGTCCCTCAAGCTGACAGCTCCGACACTTATAACAGGAAGGAGCGCTCGTTTGTTTTGTTGAGTTAATTTCATAGCTCAGGATTCTACTGAGCACTCCAGTGTTTAAAAGTATGAATTGATCGGGACGCTGCGAGACTTTCGCAGCAGCAAGTGTTTACACTCCTGCTACTGCAGTAGCTTGGTTGATAAATTTTAGTGATTCAGAAGCTCTCAGAAGTAGTGTGACAGGCGGTATTCATAGAATGATGTAGCGATTGTTATTAATGTGTTGGGGAACGGGCACAACTCGCAAATAAAATAATCTAATGCAATGTAGAGCAATATTTTGCAAAGAGCGAGGCAGCCACTATCGCGAGCTTTCTCACGTCAAAAAAGTATATGACAACGAGTAAGTTCACATGATAAATGCAAAGGTTACCAGGCTCAAAAAGGGATTACTACGAATCTTCTTCATTGAGGATCCGCCTGCACATTACAAGATGCTTCCTTTTGTTATATGGGGGGATGGGTATGCCGAAGAGCCCTCATTATAGAGGGATCCCTTCATCTGTTGTAGCATTGAGGTACGAGAAGATTCCGACGCGTAGCAAAAAAAGAATGTGACTTCGACAACCTCGTGAAAAACTCCTCAGCCGAAATAGAGGATAAGTAAAAGAGTAATGAATTCGAAGAGTACGAACACAAGATTTGTTTCCAGCAATTCGATGAACTGAAATAGCGTCGTGAAAGGCAATGAACATCTCAGTTTCCTCAACCTGACATCTGATTCTGTTTGTGAATATCACGTATCCACAGACAAAATGAAAGCAGTTGAAGGTTCTGCGCTCAAAATGAGCCACAGTGATTAGGGAAACATGATGGCTCAAACTATTTGTCAATTTGAATCGAATGAAGTATCTTCTTCGATAATCCTTACAAATCTAACCAAACACTGAGCCCCGATGACAATCCTGGATGCAGTAACACGAATTCACGGCTTCTGAAATCTCTCCGTAGTAACCAATAGCTACGCACCCATGCCTTCATGTGCATATTTAGTTCAAAGCGTTTTACCTTTACTTTTCAACTACCTCGATATAGATTTATGCATTACATGTCTACTTATCCGGTAGTATCAGGTTGTCCGGAAAGGAATGCGCGTTCGAGCTTAAAAATTTTTTTATTATAAAAACGAAATTAAACAAGATAAATTCAAAAGACAATCTCCATTAGTATCAATGACTTGTTGTCAACATTTATATGCAAAGAAATTGTTGTCAACATTA